CTCAAAAAAAATCAAAAAGTTATGTGCTACCCAAGCATTCAGGGATCGGTCTGAGCCATAACAATGCTCCAGCCAATCCCTTAGGGCTCTTCCGGGATCTCGGCGTTCCTGGCCAATACACACTTCCTTCCCTGTCCATCCATGTAACCCCGGAGGGCCAGTCACGATGTAAAAGCAAGGAGCTAAGGGAGAAACAGGGCGGCACCCTAAGCCCTGATCCTCGATCCGAGTGGACCACATGCCCTGAACCTGTACGAAGGTGCCAACCTGGATCTCGCGGACAGTACCAGCAGCAGTGCTTACCGATTAAGCTAAGGTACTGTTGGTGTTTTACGATGGGAAATTAAACATCTTAAATGACTGAATAGAACGCGTGTGTTTAAAAGCAAAAAGACACCGACGGGATTCGATACCGGGCTCCGCGATTCGTGGACGACGGATCTAGCCACTCGGCCATCAGGCTTTCTTAGAATTCTCCTCAAAAACAATTTGTCTTAATAATAGGCGGAGAAATCTGGAACATTGCATCTGTTTTGGCTTCATGGACGAACAGAATTGAAGTCGATGTTTCGGGCAGTAATGAGTCTATAAATTTGGAGATGATTGTGAACGGTGATTTAATACCGTACTCGTATTGTATAGCTTGGTTTTATGTCATTCCAATTATGACACTGATCTCCATATACAAAGCTGTCAAGCCCATTGGCTATTAAAAAAATGTTTTTGCCACATTACCAATCCAAAAACAATATTTTTTTTAATTAAGATGTGTAATTTAATTGACGTTCACTTTTTGCTCAACAAATGTTTTAAAATCAAAATGGCTGTTTGAAAGGTGACAGATTACTTGTATTTCATTATTGAAGTTTTGCTGAACTCGAAATTCATAAACATTTTGTCGTAAACTAGGGGCAGTAAGCTTTCCATTGATATCTTTGATACATTTCTCTAGACAGGCATCTCTATATAAGCTCAATTGTCTTGAGCTTATATGTGAAAACCATCTTGGGACATTTTGAGCACAACCAGACCTTTATTGACTTATTATAGGGCCAAGACATGCAGTTTACACTGGAGTTTATTTTGTTCAAATGAACTTGGTGACATTCCAAAATGGTTTGTAAAGTCCACTTTCTTGATTAAACATTTCCTTGCTTTATCCAACAACTGGGGATGCTGTTGCTGCGATGTCACTAAACAGCAAACCCCACAACTGAAGAGTGCCTTCAGTTGGGGGGTTTGCTACTTATATTGTGATCCCAAATTATTGGTTACTGAAAAACATCTGTGCATATATAAATTATGTTCATTGACACACTTATATATTATACATGCAGTAATAGAACAATATTACAGTAATGCAAAACCCATGGCAAAACCTCCAAATATCCCGGACACTTTGATGCTGAAGCAAGAGTACAATGAAGTTTCAGCCTAAAATTAAATCACAGTTTTGCTCGTAAATATTGTAATTCGCAAGAGCAGAAAAACCAAAGAGGCATTAAATTCCCCTTGAAAATTCACTGGGACTTAAAGGTGCATTATAAAAATTGACTTTATAAACATTCTGTAGGGATTAGATGGTTCCATTATGAGATTAAAGAGGTTATCACTTTGGTGCAAGGCATTTGGACTGATTTGTTGACTGATAAATGAAATAAAAGCAAACTACATTTATTTGCTGAATGCATAAAAAGAATTGTCTCACTGAAGATTTGTTAGATGTGTAAATTTTCTTTCTTTAAAGCTCCACTTCAAATTAATATGAAAGTGCATTTTATAAAAAACAATGCAGTTTAGAAATTCAGATTTTCACTTTGCCTCAGTTTTTAATAGCTAAATGTGCATAGCATGGTCATAAAAGAAAATGGGAAATTTTGTAATAAACGCTTTATACCCAGTTTACTTGTCCCGGGGTAGCATCAAAAAGAAGACCCCTAAAACGAAGACGGAAGACCCATGTTTTCGAGTGGGTCTTCGTTTTCGAGTGGGTCTATGTTAAAACATGGGTCTTTGTTTTCGATACTACCCTTGTCCCGGGTGAGTTTTTAGACAAAATCACTCTGGTGGGACTCAAACCAACGACCTCCTGCAATGTTGTCCCGAATTATTATTTTCTCACAATCACCCGGGACAACACTGAGTATACAGTGTTTGTTAAAAATAAGTCTTTGAAAGAAAAAAAAACTAATACATGTATTAAATGTATAAAACCCGACGCAAATTCCATCTTATGAATAAAAATGAGATGATATCAAATTTTGTGGGAATTTTTTACAAATGAACAAAGTGGTATGTTTACATCTAAATAAAAGCTGTGAAAATTTCGCTATTATTGTGCAACTTTGCAATACTCTTCAAAGAACATGTCATCCTCAACTTCATGGATAAAAATAGGTAAAATATCTCCACTTCCTCCATTTGCAAAATATTGATCCTTGACATTTGTCCCAATGTGCTGCCATAAATCTATATCTTTTTGCTACCATCACAATACAAACTTTCAAATCTGAAAATTTATTTCCATCCCATTAACTCCAAATCCAACAAGCCCTCAAGACCCATTGACTCCTAGTCCCATCAACCTACATACCCATCAGTCTCACAGCTCTTCAAGTAATAGTCTTGTTTCGTCTCAAAACAACCATCAACCAGCCTTCCCAGAGTTCCCAAGCCTACTCTCCAGCCCCCAACCCAACCTCCCTACCTCAGACTCTCAGATCTGAAAAATTTGTCAGGGGTACCCCTTGTCTTCAGAAAATTTGGCCAGAGCTGAAAATTGTGTAAGTATAAAAACCTAAGTGGTTTAATTACGAAAACCTAAGAGTTTTTCAAGAAAGTGACATAGCCTAGTGGGAAAAGAGTGCTGCTGTGCCAGAGGTACCTGGTTCAATCCCACCCTATGCTACCATTTTATTTTTTATAAGTTAACACCACAGTGAGGAAAAATTCTCCTCCCAGGTCCCGGATTGAACTGGGGACCCGGTGGCTGGCAGTCAGAGAGCTACACCATCAGGCCACAGGATTCTTCAAAAAATTGTGCTCAGAAATTATATTTAAAGGTTAGATTGCGCAATATGTTTTTAAAAAAAATGCACATTGGTCTTAGTACAATGTATCAGTTGAAAAATAAAAGCCAGAAAACTGAATATTCAAAAGGAAACAACAAAAGCTCAAAATTCCGGGTTTTAATTAATTCAGTTTTATGATTTTTTTTGATAAACTCCCTTTTGCAAATTCACAGCCAATGTGCTTACTTAATAGTACTACAAATTCCATTGAGTACAATTGAAGTTTTTATTTTTAAAGTAACTAAACAAGAACTAATCTGTTTAATGCAGAATAATGTAGAAAATACAAAAATCAATATTTGTAAATGCTTAAGATTTCATTGTCAAGTCCAGTCCTTCATAACAATTTTCCGACTACAAAATGGTAAGACAAAACTGGCCTTTACTGTTCAGCTTTACAATGGCAAATTAATGTGTTTGAACATGAAAATGTTTTAAATGTTGGCAATCTGCGCCTTCTCCCCAGCGGAGGGCAGTGCAGCGAAAACCACTTCAATTTGTTTTCTGAATAATTTTTACATTGTAGTCCTATTGATAGTCGTGCATTTACTTAAAGGTGTGTTTCATTTCACCACTGCACTGACAAAGGTGGCTGTTCTACAAATACAAATGAAGTGTACTGCAAAGATTTGTATGACTCGTGACAGACTCAGACTCTAGTCTGACTTGAGTCCCATTTTCTGTGACTTAGACTCGGTCTTGTGTCACAGAGAAAAATGACTCGGACGTCGAATCGACCGTGCAGACTCGGACTTGGGTTCATACTCGACCAACGTGACTCAGCACTTGACCAAAATTAACACAAATCACTTTTTGTTACAATACAATAACAACTAATTTTGAAGACGATCCTTTCCTGAGCCAGTGATACAATAGAGTCAGTGTGATGTAGACACAGATGCCAAGTACACGCATACTGAAATTTGTATTCTTGTGGAGACATTTCTTTGTTCGCGTGCAGTAAAGTTTTCAGATTTGAAAATGAAGTTTCAAAATGCTCTTATTTTAGCCAGAATTAATTTCCCTGGGTGAAATTCGGACTTAATATCCCTTTTCTAAAACTCTTCCATTTGCGACAGATCAACCCACCTTGGAAATTCCTAGTTTTTGAGTAAAATCCATATATCTATTTCATGAAAATCTTGTGGAGACGTATTGTCTATAGAAATTGCCCTTTGGAGATGTATACAATCTTTTGTTCCCTATTGTGTGCACGTCTCCAGAGGGCACGGTGTATCAGATCTGTACACACAGTGCATGCAGCTCAAAATTGATTTTTTTTTTATATTATAGTTTAAAGGCGACTCATGACTCGTTACTCCACCTGCATAATTTGGGATCAGGAGAGGCGACTCAGAATTGCTGTTTGGTGACTCAAACACAAGTCTGGAAGTACATGTACAATGGGTGCCACTTAAAATTTACATAAATAATATACACAAATACCCTGGAAGACCGTCATGACAATGGAAAGCGTCAAGTTTACAAAACATACAATCAATTCTATTGAGACTGGCAATGTTTTTTTTGAACCTGTAAGCATTCCAGTTTCAGGTACGAAAAAGAAAAAGGGGCTCTTTTTTGTTCGAAATAAGTCAAACATGTATTAATAGAAAAAAAAGCATGGGGGAAGACAACTTTAAAGGACACTTTGTTATACCGAGACTAGTACTGGTATTTTAGCAACATGGCTTCTCAGTGGGAGTCACTGAGGCATGACAACACGGATCACTTTGTTGTTGTGAGGATTGAGGCAATATTGTGTATCTCAAGCTAAATTACTTTATACTAACTTGCGTTTCTTTCTTTGCCTGGTACATGTACATGTACATGTTCATGTATATGATATGTCACTTTCATTCCTACTCGCACTTGGAGAATTTGTCATTTTATCTTTTAATTTTATGTCTCTGCCAGCATGGAATTGTCCGTGATTTTCCTTAATGAACAACCTAGTGCATCTTAGAAATCTGCGTTCTACCCATAAATCTCTGTTGTCACCCCCAGTCATCAAAACTAAGTCCTATGGTTCCCGCTCCTTCCAATCAGCTGCAGTTCAGCTATGGAACAACTTACCAGATACTGTGAAACAGGCCGAAACATCAGAACAATTCAAAACCCGGGTCAAAACATATCTGTTCAATTTGTATAATTGTTGATTTCATGAAAGCGCATAGCGCATATTATTATTATAAGCCCAGGCCTCATAGAATAGCTTCTCTGACAAGTGATGTCATCACAAAGTGGTGCAGTTTCAGGCCATTCCAGCTTTCACAACAGAGTCTTCCTGAAAAAGCATGACAACCTGAAATTCAAACAAACACAATTAATTGAAAAACAAAACCACTATTAACACATACCATTAATCGTTGGTCTTTATTTTAACAATTTTGAAAGCTTTTGTAATTGTTCAAGCCTTTGCATAGTTGGAAGTATAACTTGTCATGTGCCAAGGAGAGAAGCATTGGCAGCCCAGGCAAGCAAAAATCACTTTTGAAGATGATCCAATTTGAAGGTTTGTGCTCACATTTCTAAATGAAAAATAAGATACAGCTGAAATGTTTACATATGAAACTTGTTAATAATTTGAAAAAAAGTGTGCATTTTTTAAAAATTTATTTTCATTTTTATGCAAACAACCTTTTTGCAAAGAACTCCTTAAATGTGGGCTTAAGCCGCATATTAAATCACAAAACCTTTTGCTGGGACTAAACTTTGCTTTACCTTCCTACGTCAGTGGGACGTTTGCACATTGGAAACAAGTTTTGTCACATAGGTAGGCCCTATGATATGCTAACGTCCTTTTGCCAGGGAAAAATAATGAAAAACCTCCTTTTTTCGACAAATTATGAAGACCCTATATAAATAGTAATAATAATATAAAAAAGAAAGAAATTATATTGTTGTTTCTCCAGGACCAGCTGATTTGAAAGTGCATTACGTCAGAACTTTAATAAAAATGCAAGTTAGAATTTTGTGCATGTGAATGCAGCTTGTTGGAGGGAGATTACTGAATTTATAGAGAGCACAGAGGTCTTGACATGGTGCTGGGTCTATATGTATGTACATGTATGGGTTCAGCATCACAGCAATGATTACTTCTCTTTACATGTAAGTTAGGAGATTATTTTACTCAATCGTCAAGTTGACACCACTGAATCTACTTAAAACCACTTCACTTCTCTTTTTTAAGAGACTGTCACTGAGCATGGTGTTTCAACTGTACTTCGAATTCTCCCTACCACTTTCTAACATGCTCAGCATCACTTACCTAGACAGAGTCAACCTAGACAGAGTCAACATCCCAAGCCTCGAACTCCTGAAGTCAGCTACAGCATCTCGCTGACCTCTTCAATGGCAACGTGCCTTGGCAATCCTCCCAAGGCAGATGGCAGAAAAGTTAGGAGAAGGTTCTCTTCATGAGCATGGAGCAAAAACAAAACCAAAACAACAACGACAAATAAAAAGAAAACGAGCAAACTACTACAATAAAAAACAGAACAAAGCTACCAAACTTTTTGAGAAGACAGTGAAAAATAATGCAGATTTTTTTTTATCATCCAACACAATTTTGTCCAAAGCACTATCCGTGGCTTATTGTACTCGTATGTTTCACCCAGCGTTACCGAGTGACTGTTTTCCTGAGGCTGATGCACAGTCTCAACTGGAATTGGGTCCTCATTCGGGGCTTGAACTTGAGAGGCATTGTTGTCATATTTGTCTACATGAAAGGGCATCAGCATTACCAGGCAAAGTGCCTGTTCTGACAGTCACTTTCTTTGCCTCTTTACCTACTAATGGAATCGATGGTGCATCGGGGAACACTACATGAGTTTCCTCAAAAGACATCGTGGGCTTATGCGCTTTTAAGAAGTCTACACCAAGAATACATGTAATTTCATGGTGCATGGTTTCGAGGATGTAGAAGGGGTGTTCAAAACTTTGCTCCCCGATACAAATTGGGAGAACAACTTTGCCCACAACTTTAATGTGACCAGCGACACCTGAAATTAGTGGAATGTTGGACTGACCCAAAGGGAACTGATCTAGGGGAAAACCTGTGTGTGTTTTTCTGGTCATGCACGAAATCAATGCACCAGTGTCAAGTAAAGCAAATCGGGAGTCTGAGCCATTTTTGACTTGAACTAGATTGCTCCCGCTTGACATGGTAGAAACATTACTCAGGTGTGGGACATTGGGTCTTGTCTCTAGTCATTGATTAGAAGGATGGATATCATTGACGTTATTTGGTTGGTTTCGGAAGCACACTCTAGCAAAATGACCTATCTTATGACAACAGTTACATTCAATACCGCAGGACGGACATGTTTGCCTACTTGTACACTCACCTCCACATCCATGACACGGGTGCATCATGGGGGGCATCGCTGATTGAGATCGCTGCAGTGGGCCTTGCTGCTGGCGGAAAACTTAGATTAGCTTGGGGTGGAAGCAACGCTGTCCAAACTCGTATCCTCTGCTTGGTGGATCTCGAAGAGATGGCTGAGTGGCCTCCAAAACTGTCGTGATCCGGTCTTTGAGGGAAGCAATCTGTTAAGTCAACTGCTTGATTGCAGAGTTCACGTTCACATCAGTGGATGGGGTTGGTTCTTAATTGCGCTGCAGATGTCGACTGAGCAATTCTAGCTTGCGTTACCGCCTCATCCATTGTCTTAGGATGAGACTTGATGATGGGCTCTGAGGTCGGGCAGCAGTCCTCTTACAAATGCTTCCATTCTCTTCTCTTGCGATTGCTTTAACTGACAACACAGTTTCTCTATGTCGCTCAAGTACCTTTTGACTGCTTCATTAGGCTGTTGTTTCCTGTCGGCCAGCTTCGACAATCGTACCCATCGCATGCCTTCGTGTGGCTCATATTTCTTGAGCAAAGCCCGTTTTAGTTCTGCAAAGGTGCCCGTTGTTGCTGTAGGCAAGTCTCTGTACCAGTAAATGGCAGAACTGGCGAGGTAGAGAGGAAAATTGCTGGCTTGTTGCACAGCAGTCTATGCTTTCTGGAGAGCATATCTCTCGTACAGGTCGATCCATAACTCAGGATCCTCCGAGTCGTACCCGGTGAACTTTGGAAGGATGGACTCGATATGCGCTGTACAGGCCATGGTTGATGCAATTTGTTGTTGATGTTGAGAGAGGTACCCGGATTCTCCAACAAATATAGCCTGTGAGGTTATATAGACAAAGGAAGACAGTAAGAGACGAAGTTGTACTTAAGCTGATGTAGTTTATTTGGTTGGCTGTGATGCTCTCTGTCTGATTTCTAGATTCTACTGGGTTTTTATACAGTAAATGGACATTCCAATCTTATAGCTATCTTACAGGTTTTCTTGCCTTATTAGGAATTGTTCACTTACTACTGAATATTAATAATACAAGATTGAAGGTGTTTGGTCAAGTTGTATCTGGCGGCAGGGCTAGGCATATTAATAGAACAATCGGATTTCCTTATAAGTCCGTGGGCTGATTCACTGTGGCCTTCCGGTGCAGCCCAGCATCCACCCACGCGGACCCTGTGGCTAAGCTGGCCATTCCTTAGATGTGTCTCATTACCAGGAAAGTGGTCCTGTTCATCAAAGGTCAACTTGTACAACTTATACAGTAAATTTAAAAATGATATTTTATCATGGTGATGTGTGCCCTACCCTCGAAGCTTAAGTCTCCGGACTTTAAATGGAACGTTCGGAACTTTACAAAAAAGACAAATTGGAAATCAACTGAATAATCTTTCAACAATTTACATTTTGTTGATTTTGTTCTTTTTATGTTTACTTGTCTCCCTTTATTTTCAGTGGAAATTAAAAATGTATTTGCATGTTTTTACCTATTTGTTTCAGGATGCATTTCAAGGATGTCTGCAAACGTGACCAGAAAGCCAGCGACATCATAACCCAACTAGCTTCGAAGCCTACGTGCAGTACAACGCAGCAAGCGGAGGCATGTCATTAAGGCAGTTAGTCCCTTCAGCCCAATTCGGCCAAATGGATCTGTCAAAACATTAAAACATTACGGGAATTACAAATTCTCTTTGGCATGTACATAAAAAGAGAACTACTATCTCATTGTAAGTGTGAGATTATAGGGTTACAGGTGCACTGGGTATGCAAAGTAGTGGCGCATGTGGTATGCAAAGTAGTGTGCATTGATGCGAGTAGCAGGGTGTGGTTATAAGGCGTTGGAATGCTGGTTGGTGGCATTCGCAGTCACCACGCCACACAATTTGTTTCTTGCTCTATCACAAGTAATGTTTGATTTTTTGGATTCATTAATTTGACAAGTATATAGCAGATCCCGGAGCTCGTTATATCGATTCAAGTAGTGCTCGATCGCCATTCGGGGGTCAGATAGGAATTTCCCAGAGTTTTGTCCTAACATATACAGTAAAAGGGTTTATCTCTGGTTTTTCACCTATCTTAGGATCGTGCGAATTTATGTATAATGATGTTAAGATGATGTATTGTCATTGTATAAATTTACAGAATCAGTAGATCTGTTGTAACACGAGACATTTACAAAAGAGTGCGGGTGACTGTTACACTTCCAAGATTAAAACAGTTGATTTGATATAAATACAATTATTTGGTTATTGTGTATGATTAAGCTGGTTTGTCGGGGCAGAGATGAGATTTCACTGTAAAGTCCCTTCAACAAATCATTACCGCCAATTAAACACAGTCTTTATGATGGCTCTGTCTTCTGCAAACTCAGAGCACTCGTAATTAGTCCTCTCACTGTTTTTAATACTCACAGAGGTGAGCCTAGCTGTCTCAGCGACGTGCCGTGTCCGGCCCTATATACCTTGCACGGTGACATCGTTTTTGCCGGGCCTGTGCATTCAATTGCCGGTCAACGTGGCGCACCATGCACGGGGACAATACTGACATCGGACCACGTTTTGCTGGTGCTCAAGTACCATTTACGGCATTATGCCTACTTGCAGGTGCACATAATACAATGTATTTGGGCTATAGTTACGAAGTTTTCAAAAGTTAAGTACATTTACGGTTCAAAATATTCATTATCATTTGATCAGTATTTTTTTTTCTATTTGCAGATGATACCGTGATACGATACGATGATTTTCCAAGTGCTGCCCATTTGCAGTCCATGATGAATTGATGTCACATGATTGACAAGTTCCTATGCACGACAATACCCCTGGCCAAAACAAGACATGAACAAGAACAAAAACCCTAATTTTCAGATAGTAGTTAATAAGGATTGCTCTAAAGCCTTGCTAGGATCGAAAGGTGTAGATATTTGTAGTCCTATCCTGTATTTCAGATCAATTCTCCACGTATAGTTATCCAAAGTTCTAGTTATCAGTTTGCAACTTTTTCAATAAAAAAAATCTCTTCATATTATATTCTCAGACGTACACCTCGTATTTTGTTTATTTGCTTAAGAATTTTATAAGAATTTGTTTTGAAACCTGGCGTTTCATGAGAAAAAAACCCCAAATATTGTGGCACTTAAACTTTATATGTAATGTCTGCAGTGTACGGATTTCTCAAAATGCACCATTTGAAAATGAGATCATAAAAAGGGTATTTACCCTCACTTACAATCATGGATACAAAAGCGTGATGTACGTGTATTTATTTCAACTTGTCTTTATAAATCTGTTAGCATTTTTTACTTTTTGAAATGTTTGGTTCATCATTCTATGAATACATCATTACTACATGTACCTTCTAAAAGCCTATTGTGCTTTTGAAGTTGCACTTCCGTTTGAACGAAGCCGCCTGACTGAACTTTGCTTACCGCATGTTGTAACTCAGACGAAAGCCAAACTCTATCAATGCTTGTGTGAGTATTGCGAGAACATTGATCTGAAGCTAAAGACCATCAACACCACATCTGCATCAGTTGGTGTTAAGTGCGGTGAGCTGCTGGACCGCTATCACGCTTCGGAAAACACTATGTAAAAGAACTGGACAAAATCCCGTGATCACTTGCCTAGACAGAAATTGACAAAAATGCGGTACCCGTCAACTAATGCAGTACCTGGCTCCACTACTACGAAAGTGCTCCTCGAAGATAGTCACATGGCAGCGCTGGGGGCCAACATGTTATGGACCAGAGAACAAAAAGCGCATCACAGTACTACATCACCTGGCTCCGTAAAACAGCTTGTCGATGAATTTCTTCAGGAGATGTCAATTTTCTCAAGGCACTTGTTCGAAGCCAGATGGCAACAAATCCAGTTCTACCACTTAAAAGATGGTTGTGCTGACAATACCTAGTGTCTGATTGGATGGATTGGATGATCAGAAAATCCAACTGAATCCCAGCCAAGCCCATAAAAAAGGCCACATGGGCAGATGATCGCTACTCTGTTTCAAGACAAGACCTGTTCGAGTCAAGATTCAAGATCCTCAAGCAAGATGCAAGATGCCTTCCAGACACCCATGCGTAGTTTGCGGCTGCACTGTTCCTGCAAACCAGCAAGCGTTCAAGTGTATCGCTGTGAGATGTGGCGGCACGGTGGATGTAACTCTGGTTGTTCACCGAGAGGAGTATCTCGCAAAATGATTTTGTGAACGATCCATCTCTTCTGGAGGGGTGGCTTTGTGGTACCTGTGCGGACCACTCCATGGACCAAGAGCCCCTCATCCCGGACCAAGAGCCCATAGAAGAAGATGACTTCCACATCGATGTTGAGTTCACCGTGCCAGCACCACCTGAGGAGGATCCTCTTCCAGACCCTGCCATTTCTGATGAGCTGCAAGGCCTTGGAGAGGATGACGATGTTACCTTCAAGATCATCACAGGAGGTTCGCAGCATGGCAATCCCATTCTGGTGGACATGCAGCCATGGCTACACCTACAGTAAGAAGTGGAAAACATCTGGCTCAGCATCTTTGCGTATCACTTGGCTGTGCAGTGTCTCTGGGACAGGTACCAGTTAGGGGAGCTACAAACATCAGAACTCCTATCAGCAGGCAAACACGTCAGCAGACCAGCAATCTAAACACCCAAACGGCTCTTTTCAGAGCCACAAACCAAACGGCTCTTTTCAGAGCCCCGCATGATCAAAAAAGAGAATCCATGTCATGCTTTATTTTCTCCCCTCCTGAAAAATAATAAAGATACCCCCCCCCAAAAAAAGTGGAGTGGCGTAGCTTGCTTCTACACAAAGAACGCCCCTAGAAAGCTGATGGCAAAACACAAAACACCCAGTTAAAGTTCATGTCTGGGCCGGCATTTCAGAGCAGGGGAAACACCCCCTCGCGACGCCCATGGACTTAAAGGGAATATACATCATTTGCTTTTGCTGTAATTTTCAGAAATGGATGGAATTGGGGGGTTGGAAATATAAAGCAAATATAGTTGCACTGACTTTTTGGAGGTTTTGGGTTCGAAAATGCTATAAAAACCAAGAAAAACGATCATTTTCCTGTAGTCTGGTTCCCTGACTCCATATAAGAAGAAACAGAGCAGTTTACATACATTGGGGAATTGTAAGGTCAGGGAACCAGTCTAGCTGGCTCGTACCCGTTCATAGGTTTGTAATCGATTGCAAACAAGTGCAATGGTCAATTGGGGCCAGTATTTGAAAAAAAGCCAGTTGTTTCCAACGCTGATCGGCCGATCAGCGTTGGAAATTGATACAAAAATACCACTTTTCTTGAAAATGACAGTATACCAGGTGCCATCATTTTACAGGATGCTTCAGGCTGTCATTTACCAACATCCTATTAAGGTATTTCGCAAAAACTTGGTAGTTTTTTTTTTCGATGTTTGCAAATGTTGTATATTCCCTTTAAGACACACTATGTAGTCCTGCTGAAACAAAAAATGCCAACTGAAAGAATTAATTTATTTATGGTAGTTTTTTAATGAACATAAATACGAAATGTGTTTTCATTTGTACTTGTACTATTGCAAAGTGTGTTCCTTGTTTTAGCTGTGAGATAACAAGTGAATATAATGTCTGAAGGAGAAGTACAAGGAGATTGGAGCTGCATACTCCAAAGACAACAAAGTGCACAAATACTTGCCATGTTCACCCACCTGGAAGGAAAGGCCAATGGACCTTAGCTTCAAGCCCTCATCAGCTACTTAAGAGCAACATGGATTGCAAACCCCAACTGGTATCCAGAGTCTTGGTCGATGTACATGTACAAATTAACAAAGAGTCTGCGCGAACAATGGTGTCGAAGATTGGCATAGGCGCCTTAATGGACATGCCAAAAAGAGTCAGCTCCCTTTGTATCTTTTTATAACC